ACTAGCGAAGCGCCGTTGTGAGAAGCTCACCCCCAAATACTTCGGCCCCTATACCATTCTGTCGCGCGTAGGAATAGTTGCCTATAAGTTGGACCTCCCAACCGAAGCATCCATCCACCCGGTCTTCCATGTTTCACAATTAAAGAAAGCTCTGGGGGCAAATAACACACTTCAGGATCACCCACCAAACCTAACAGAGCAGTTGGAGTGGGTCACGGAGCCCTTGGATGTGCTTGCTGTCCAACGTAACCCGACGACTGAGGAATGGGAGCTGTTGATCCAATGGAAAGGGTTGTCGAAGCACGAAGCAACGTGGGAAAGCCTATCTACAATTCAGCAACAATTTCCGGATTTCCACCTTGGGGACAAGGTGTCTTTCTCCCCCGAGGGTAATGTGAGGCCTACTGTGGTAAATACTTATGCTAGGAGGGGTAAAGGGGTAAATATCCCCAACTAGAGGACAAGGGAGAACTTTGGGTGTAGGGGGGTACTTATGCTTTTGTGTTATGTTAGAATGTTTATGTCTTGTCTTTTGGGAAAAGTATTGTATGTCAGAGGACAGCTCCAACCCTCTCGAACGGTTGGTACTGTGTAAGCCTTCGGGCACAACCTTTGTGTTTTGAATATCATTTTGTGAGCAAGAGTCCTTACATATCCATCAAACACTTCGTTATTTATTCGTGCCTGTATCCGTGCTTCTACCTTGACCATGTCACCGACATGTTGCTCGATCTAACTTGATTGTCTCGTCGCCAATAATTGCAGCACAAATTTGTTCTAATTGGACGTGATTCGTTTGGGGCTGAAGTTGACTCTCATGACTGCAAGATGTACATTATCACATATATCCCCTTGTTTGGAGGCCAAGAAAGCAATATGAAGGCGTAAAAGAACTAGATTATATCATTACTTCGATAAAAAATAAAAGAAAGAAAAAAAAGACTACTAATTAGAGGTCGAAAGATTTGAACCTATACCTTAAACTAGCTGGTTTCTTTATTAGGAGAGACAACGAGCCGTTCGGCCCCCACCGGATTAGGAATGCAAAGGCCTTTCTCCTTTGAAAAGAGACTTGGGAAAGAAATACTTATAGTTTGAATGACAGTGAAGGATAAGAATAGGTTCCTCTTTATCCTTATAAAGTATGACTATAATTATAAATGATGTTTCTATCTAGAACCTAAAGTGAGACCCTAAAATCAACCAGTCTCTTCATCAGGAGAGACGATGATAGTTATTGTTTGACTGTCCTTGAATATAACAATGATGGTCAACTTATACTCTAAATTTACAATTGCATCAAATTAGACAGAAAACTTTGATATGGCAATTTTTACCTACTATTAAGTTTCCATTACATTTACTCACTAATATTAGAAAGAAAATTTACAAAGGTAATTATCAAGTAAATCTTCCAAAAACACACCAATTTCAACAAAAATCCAACCTTAGAAGAAATCTTTATCCGAAAGCCCTAAGGTAAAAATTATAACATCTATCCATGGTCATTCAAGCAATTGTAAACGAATAGTAATGCAGAAAGATGCATCAGACTGGCAGTAATTTAAAATGTCATCAAAGCTTGAGTACAGAATGCATATATGAAGTACAAAAGGCTAATTTTTACATTTCCTTTCTAAATCATTCACATGTCTTTGGGCACATTCCCACTGTTAGTTCATTTGACCCACTATTATCATCATCAATTTTCAAAGTGAGACAACTAGAGAAAGATGCTTACGTTTGTTCGGTCTTGTTCACCTTTGCTTGTCTGCAACAAGCAATGAAGGATTGTAGTTTCCACAGCCACAAACTGTCGCTACAACATTCAATGCACACCGAGACAACTATGCTGCAGTTCGAGAGCAATTCTGATGCACTCAGCCATTGGACAGTTTGTCTTGATTGCGTTTGAGGCAATATGAGACCTACTAGCAGCATATCCAGCCTGCAGCAACCACACTCCTTAAAAAAGGAAAAATGAGAAGAAAACTGTTTCTTTTCAACCTTCTCCATTCCAAGTAAAAATCTGTTCACTTTTCAACTATGAAACATAGACACTCTAGTTTAGATAATGAATCCATGTCCAACACGTATCAGAGTCCGATACTTGTTGGGCATGTGTCACATACTTGTTAGCATAATAGACATACATCAGACGCTATCCTAGTTGATCAAATTAATGAGTCTGATTCCAATTTAGCCAAAAATAATAAAAGCAGAAAAATTCTAATGAATTTCTTTCTTACATAAAAATGGTATATATTTCAGTAAACGGGTCTTTGCTGTCTCAATGTTCTATACTTGAAGAAAATGTGTTGTGTCGTGTTCATGTCACATGTTTTTGTCTGTACATCTTTGATTTTCAACACTTCGTAGAATTTAATGACAATAAACAGTGTCATGTTCATGTCTTGTATCTCTGTCTATGCTTCTCTGATTTTCAACATTTAGTAGAAATCTAATATCAACAAGCAGTTCAGCCAAAGTGGACAAGTGCAATCAGACAATCACATCTTAAATACCAATATTCTCACCTTGATCATCTCGTTCATCATGACTTTGAGGGGAGGTGAGTTTACTTTAGCACGGCTTGCAACCTAAACACACAGCGAGAGGGGGAGAAAGATCACTTCTTACACTGTTGATCCGGAAAAAGAAATGAAATATTGAACCATATGAAGAATAAATAAAATTCAGCTACCTCGTCTAATTTGATGAACCCAACTGGTAGTTTGGAGTCACTCTCATCTACCATCTGTTGCAGAAGTTTCTCAAGATCCATCCCCTGGCCATTGCCAATCCATCCCCATTGCTTAGCCAAGGTTAACATGTCTTCAATGTAGTCTGCACTGTGTAGAGGTCCGGTCCAAAGAGGTCCAGAAACCACGAGCGATTCAGAAACCTAACAAGTAAAAATTTTTACTTTCAAATCAAGGACACAATTGTACAGTCGCTGGACCAAATCTAATTCAAGCTCATAAGGCTCGTAACGAGTAAACAATTTTACTCTCTCTATCTTACAAGATAAAATATTTCAAGTATTTACATTAGAAAGAAAGAACCTAATACAGAAGCAAACAATAAATTCAAGCATATTCAGCTCGAAGCCAATGGTTAACTGGACTATGCAAGTTAGATGAGGAACTTTTGGTATCCAATTAAACTATGGAGGCTGAAACAACCAGTGAATGCTTAAACCAAAAAGAGTAGCAGGATGACAGTTATGGTCATACACTTACTCTTGAATCGTTGCAAGGACAACTCATCAGTCCAAGTTCAGTCCACGAGAAAACTTGAGAATTTCCACATTTTTTGCAATAGCTGATGAAGCCATAATGCCTGATACAAATAGTGAAAGCTTTAATATCAAGCACCATCAATGATCATACATCCAGCAGACATGGTAAGCTCACCATTCATCAAAGATCACCTGTGATCCATAATCTTCCCTCGATTGATACGAAGCAGAACTCTAAAAACAGGTCCATGGTATGAATAATACGAAAAGAGTGGTGTTGCATAGTAACCCAGTACAGAAGCTTCACGTACAACCCCACCTATAAGCATTCGCAAACCAATTTCATTCGAAAATGGCATGGGACGCACATATGCTCCATATGCAGCTAAAGATCTAGAGAGAGAGAGAAAAAAAGAAGAAGAAAAGAAAAAGGAAAATAAATAATATTTAATTACTTCACCAGCCAAAGTACAACATGCAGTCTTCAGATAGTTACCCGCTAATATCCAGCACAAGTAGGGTGCAAGAAGAAAACGAAAAATATAATCTTGTTGATTTTGGTCAGTTGGCCATGATCAATTTTGGTCGGTTTTGTCAATTTAATTAAGTTCTAAACAAATTTGGTTTTGTCATTTTTTTTTTTTTTATATTCGTGAGTGTCCAAGTCAGTTTGCACGCACTTCAACTAATCTCACAGGGTAACTGTCTGACCCTACAACATTTGGTGTCCGTAAATATATAGGAATTAATTCCTTAGATAGGTGGCCAAGTGGTCATCATGAGGTTTGAATCCATTCAATTTTTAATTTTCGTAAACTGCATTGTATTGGTTTTGGCCGAAAACCAATCTAAACCGAATTGCCTACATCAGCATAGTAAAGATTGGAAAAGGGCAATCACTCATTCTTAAAACCAATATTCTTAAAACCAATATTCTTAGAGACTAAAGAGATGGTTAGAGTCCCAGTCCCCTGCCATTGCTTGGAGGCTTATAATTTGATGTTCTATTTCACTCTCCTCCTCACACTTCCCTCATTAACCTCAATTATTACTACACTCAAAAGTTTGCATTAGTTATCGTATATTTAATCCTTCTTATAATATACTTTTAACAGATACAATTATCAGACATTTCATGGCAAGATTTTCAAAAAAGTAGCTAAAGCAAACAACTTCAATAGAGCACCAATTGTAACACATGAGAGATTCTGCACTCACTGAGAAGGTCGATGACCGCCGGAAGAGTAACCATCCGTGGACGTAACATAGAGCAATCCATCCACTTTCAACGCGTTGATCGCAGACCTCAAGAAGGTCGAATCACTACCAAATGAATCAACATCAATAAAATCAAAGAAATCCTTCTGTAAATAGATCTCCGTCATGACCCTGTTCGCATCAAAATTCGTAGCCAACCACCGCCGATTATCCCCAAATTCTTTCGTTACCTGCGACAGATTGTTCAAAATAACCCTTCGATTTTCGTCATTAGCGTCATTCGCCCACACAAAATCAGCCTCGGCCTCGACCAAGTACCGGAGCGACCGAATCCCGCAACCGCACAATGCGTCGAGAACCCGTAGGTTGTGTTTGGATCTCCGGTAGAGCGACGCCGCGAGCACACCCAAGTCGCGTCCGGTGGCGCTTTCATGGCGGAAGAAGGTGTCTCCGATGTCGAATTCAATACCCCTTTCAGTGTGATTGTTTGAGAGGCAATTGGTATGGGATTTTTTCTGAGATTGAGGAAATTTGAAGAGATGAATGGTTGTGGAGGCGAGGGAATGGGAATTGGTTTGTGGGTTGTGAAGAAATGAGGAAGAAGATAGGGTTTTTGACGTAGCAGCGGTTAACATGGCGGGAAATCGTTGAATCATGTATTCCGATGGATTTATATAGTTTTTTCTTTTAGAGGAAATTTTATGTTTTATTAAAAAAAAATACCAAAAATTTGTATATAGAGTTTAAATTTCATTTTACCATAACCGGTTAAGTATGTATTATTGGTCAAAATGTCGAAGGTTTGAATCCCGATTGTTTTTCAGAGGTAGAATCTTCGAGTTTTTCCTACGTAACTCAATACTGATCGATTTAGCCATGAGCAGGTTGAAGAGAATCTCAATAGATTTGGTAGGATGGAACCCATTTATTTGATAAAATATGGAGATAACTTATGGTTAGGAGTGTGTTCGACGAGAAATTTAATAATAAATGACTTGAATTGATGAACTTGATTTGTATTGAATATACGAATTACAATATCTAATGTATGATCCTTTGATTAATTCTCTCAGATGTAAAGTTCGTAGTCTCTGTAGACGTTGATGGTTTTGAATCTCCAATTCTTCTACCTCTCTCCAAATGTCTTAAATGGGATGACCCCTCTATTTTATAGAGCTTTTGGTGGATCTTATATGGACCATAGGTTTAATGGGTCATGGATTTGGGTCCAGTCTCTTCATGGATTTTGATCCAATTAGTTGATTTCATCCGACCATAAAAGAGACATAATTTAATTCGTCGATTTTAAAATAAGCCGAATTTTATCATTCAACTGAGTGAAAGGCCAACTAAGATCGGGTATAGCAGTATGATGTTGATAGCTCAAGGTAGAGTAATCTCGCCTTACCAACTTCATGGAAACCCCGAATATAGACAGATCATGTATTATTTAACTCAATATATATACATTTTTTTATCTCGTTGTAAAACTTTTAAATTTATTTTATTTTGGTGATTTAAAGACAGTCTCTAACCTCATAAAAATAACCACGTGAGATATACTTACTATAGTAATAGTATGACTAACCAAATATGGATTCAAGTGAAAATTAGTTTTAGAACGTATAATTATATTATAATTTTAAGTTCAAAATTTACAATTTTTTTAACTTTAGATCAATTTACTATTAGATACACATTAATAAATGTAACTAACTCGGTCTTTTAAAAATCAGTATATAGAAAATTTATAGTATTACGTAAACATCTACTCCATCTGTTCACATTGTAATTATATTATATAGATAATTGATTAATGTTGTTGAACTTCACATCATTTTTTAAATAGTGTCGATGTGATAGACAATAAATAATAGTATTCGTATTCCTGTAGTACTACATATCTCGTCAAGCGCACATAAAAACAGGCATGATAGTAGGAATAAATTATGGAATACATATTTGAAATGCTAGAGGCTAGCTTTTGTCATTCAAACCACAAACACATACAGAAACACATCATCCATTATCATTGAAACAACTAGGTATCCCTTTTGTATAATTGTATTTCATTTTAGTTCCAAATTTTAACATAGTTTAGTACTACTTTTACAGAGCTGAACCACCAGAAACCATACAAATTGCATAAAATAGCTTCAATGCACCAGAAATAGTATGAGGCTAAGCCAGTTATTAGTTTATTTACTTGCTCATTCCTGATGGATCAACTTTCACCATTAACACCTGAATGGTGGGAGGACAACTTATGTGTTTGCTATCCTCCCCGTCTTTGTCGGGGTTGAATATAATCTACATTTCAGCACGGAGCACGGCTGCAGGCGTGAAGACGAACATCTTGCAGTCGTGAGGGTCAACTTTGGCTCCAAATGATGCCACAGCAGCTCCTGTAACTTCTTTGTGCTGCAGAAGTCAGTTTCCCAAGTCAGCGAAAACAAATTTGAGGGGGGTGGGCATTTATTTTTTGGAAACTCAGAAAGCTTGTTGCAACTCAAAGGGAGAGGGAGACCTAGAATAACCCAACCATTGAACCTCCTGCCTAATGGAAAGAAGCTACTGAAGAATATGGTCAGCTATAAAATGTTACAAGGGGGACAATACCTCTATCACGTGTCGATTGTGCAAGCTTCTGCTATTCCTACTCGAAAATCTACCAACTTATTCGTGCATATTATCTCTATGTTAAGAATTTCAAGGGTCATGGTCGTGGTTGTGATTAGGTCCAGGTGTGATGTGATAGGCCCTCAGATTATTAATGTTTATCGTCTGAAGAAGTAAAAGGGGTAGGTATGAGCATGTGAGTAAGAATGTATCTATTTTGAGATGTACCATTACGACCCATGTAGTTGGTTATAATGTAAGCATGGGTAGATGTGAGTCTTTTTTTTTCCTTTTTTTTGGTTCAACATGTGGGGATAGAAATTCTAACCTCTGATCTTTTTGGTCGAAAATATGTGCGTTTGCATAATATATACTTAGAAGTTTACTGGGGAAGCATGTTTTGGGGAAGCATGTTTTGGGCATATTTTGGCTAGTCTGGATTTATAGAGATTAGAGCTCTCAAGTTCTCCTTAACTTGTATTACATTGATTACCAGTTCTATCTTTATGTCGGCCAACAATTTACACAAGCCAAATTTCTCACCTGCCACAAGTCTCTTACTGAGACACTGGTGTCGGGTTTAAGCCCAAGTGCGTTCCAATCCGTGGTGATCGTTGATGCAACTGAACATCGATTCCAAAGAACGACGGCCAAGCGGCTTCCAGATAGAGGACCTGCCCAAACCTGTAAGACAGACAACCCTCACTATTCTGAAACCTTCATAGTTAACTTATCAGTTAATTAGGTACAAACCATAACAGTACTAAGGTGTAAACAAACTCAAATAGTTAGATAATGACTCCCATCTCAAGTTTTCACTTGAACATTTACAGCAAGTTTGCATGGTAAAGATACTTCAAGGTAATGCAAAAACTGAAATACCTCAAGGCAACCATCTTTTCCAAGAACTTTGACCTTTCTTCCCTGGACCCCAAAAGGATCTGCATAAAACTAGTACTAATATATGATTTTGACCTTTTGATGAGTAAATAAATAAGTTAAGCACATCATAGATTATCTCACTCATGTAATAGGTTTTAAGTTGCATGTAAATAAAAATCAATGAACGTAAGAAAGAGAATATTGGTATTGATGTTGACATTACTCACTTGAATTAACGGAAATATATTGATCGTAAATTGTTGAATATTTTGAATTTTTATGGTTCTTTTAAATGAAAAAACTAACTTTCATTTGAGAAGAAATGAACGTATATAAAATACAAGGACAAGCAAGAAAAAGGAAAGTTCAAAATAGAAAGTGGGGAGGAAAAGAAAAACAAAAAGTTAACAACTATGGCCAGCTTGATAACCATTTCAATTTTTGTTACTTGGAAACATTACTTTTACATCTGTTTTATTATATAGTTTTTACAAACATTTTCAAAATATGGCCAAATTTAGAGAAAAAAAATGTTTTCAGAAACTTGTTTCAAATATTTGTTTTCACCCATGAGAAGTTGTAATATTTGTTTGAGCCAACAGATAAAACTTTGATATTTGTATAATAAAGATACTTTTTCTTAATAATTTTATACATCTTTTTGTAACTGACTTGTATGTCTTTTATTTGATTCACACAATCCTAAATGTTGATTTTTACAAAATAATGTGAAAATTTATGAGAGATAAAATAACAAATACGAAGAAAGAAATCGATAATATAAATATAAATAAGAAAGTTTAGTAACGAGAAACTGACAATGCAAGAAAATAACTTATAAGGAATACTTTTAAAGTAGGATGTCTTCTTTTGCACAATTATCAACGGACATATCAAAAAATGTTGAAGGAATTATCTATACATATCCATGAAAAAATATGATGTGGCAGTTGATTTTCATGGATATATATATGCTGTGGATAATTTCGATGTTGCCGATATGTCAAACATTTTTAGGATAAAACATATAGTTTTTGTTATCAATATCCATAATTCAAATTTATGGATATATTCATATATCACATGAATCATATTTATGGATATTCATATTCATATGAACATATAACGTGGAAAACATATCTAAGCATGTGAAATAAATTGCAGTTCACCTTGGTTTACTGCAATGACCTCCTCATTGCTAAGAATTTCTAAAGTTTCTTCAGTCATATTTCGTACATCACAACCAATCAAAAGAGGGGCCTGCACATTTAAGGTTAACAATTTGAGATATTAAAGGACCAGAAATCAAATGAATGTCTTGTTTGAATGTGGTGGGCCTTATTTACAGTTTTCTTACTGGTAGCAAACTATTTCCTAGGAGGAAAAGAAGAACTATATATCGATTAGTAAACGTGTACAAGGGGTGACACGAGTCCAACCCATTTGAGTTTGTGGATCACGAAACACAAACAACAGAACATTGAACGACCAAAGATTTTAGCACTCATAGCCCAAAAAAGAACACGATGTTGGACTCTCTTCCAAACATCACCTAAGTTTCCAAAAATCTCAATTTTTTTCTTCTCCGAACCCTCCAAATCTCTTCATAAAATAACAAAAGTGGCATAAATCCGAAGTGTTTTGTCCTCCACATTGGGAAACTAAAAGGCTTTCATGTGTTTAGGAGCCACAAAATTGAGACTGAAAGCCCTCCACTAAATTTTCCAGAGAATTTGGCGAAAGTGATGATAGATAGATAATTAATTCCTCATCTGCATTTTTATCCATCTATCCTTCCCACTACATGTGCTTCCTTTTATCTAATCTCTCCCCGTTCTCAGGCCACTGACGTGATATTTTGAGAACTAGAAGAGTTGATGCTAGACCCTGCATCAAAGCAAAGAAAGCAAGCTCTAGAGTAAGGAAAAAGGAAGTCTAGAAGGGTGAGATAAAACAAGGTGGCTAGGCTGAAGGCGAGAAAGTTTCGTTCGGTAACTGCTGGTTGGCTGTTGATGAGGAAGGAAAAGTGAAATTCATCAAAGAGATAAAAAAACAAAAAGAAAGGAAAGTTAAAGATTTATTTGGTAATATTCTTGTTTTTGTTTCTCGTTTCTCGTTTTCTATTTATCTTGCTTCTCGTTTCTTATTTTCTAATAAAGATAAATAGAAATGCATTTGGTAACTATTTCTTGTTTCTTGTTCTTTCTTTTTTATTGGAAAAAGAAATAGAAACATGTTTGATAATCATTTCGAATTTCTTATTCTCTAAAATTTTAAATTTTAAAAAGTTAAAAGTTTTATATGAAAATTAATTTTTAAAATTAATATTCAAAATTTTGTATGTTATATTTATTTTTTATTTTTTATTAGGTACTTTATAAGTCAAGAATGATAAAACGATGATTTTAGTTACATTTATGAAAATTTGGAAACAGAAACAAAAAAACTTGATTTCGTTGCTTTCAAAATTTTTACGCAATTATGAAAACTTTATTAGAAGTGAGAAATAGGAATGGTTACCAAATACTTCTGTTTTTAAAAGAACGATAACGAGAAACAAATAACAAGAAACAAGAACGTTACGAAACCAACCCTAAGTACACTAAATGGTTAGTAGGCCTATCACATCCTTTTTGATAGCGAGTTGATGAGATAAGAGAAATGAGCAGGGTAAGAAACAGAACGAGATGAGGAAACAAAGTAACAGATAATCAAGCAAAAGAATCTGGGTCTTCTAGCTTAATCAAGGAGGAAATGACAAGAGGTAAATTTTTTCATGGTAAATGGTCTAGCCTAGATATGAGAATGAACAAGTTAGGTAGTCATTTACCCATCTTCTAGTTTAATCAAGCTAGATATGAAGTCATAGTGACCATACTTCCTCAATGCTGGGTGGTATGTACATCTTCTGAATAATAATACATAGAAGAGTACAATACTCCTCTACCGACAAATCCTATACAACTCCATTACATATATGCCTCCAGAACATTGTGGAATACAATTCTTTCCACAGACAGCATCCTAAAGCATCTATGACAACTACTAGAATAGTCGGTAGGAGCCTATTAACAAGAAGAACAACATAGAAATATAAATTGTATGATGGCCAATGGATTGACATTCTATATGAGTATTTAGTTGTATTGGGATTCATCAGATAGTGTTAAATTAGTGATAAAAAATTAAAAATATCGTAATCCATCAACTTAACCTTTTGGGTTCAAGGGTAGTTTAACATGGTATTAGAAAAAAGAGATCCTGTTTGCAAACTTCTTTAATATCATTTCCTTCCCACTTAATATAGCTAAGCACTTGATGGGCTTTGTGCAAATTTCCCCACAAGTGAAGGAGCGTGCTAAATTAATGATAAAATATTAAATTTATCCTAACTCACTGGTCAAAGCTTTTAGTTTAGTAGTAGTCTAACATATAGTTGTGATAAAGATGGAGAAAGGGAGGGAAAAACCTTCATCAGAGCCCATATGCTAAAATGAGCACGGTATTCCTGATAAGTCATGCCTCCATTACCAACTTCCAACATATCCGGATCTGTCCACGGAACGTTAATGCAAATTGTAAACCTCATAAACAAACAGAGAAATCAACATCTTTAGACAAAATCACATTCTTACCATTCCAGCCACCAGGTCCTGCATAGGCTGCCCACTTGTCATTGATATCTGCAAGAGTAGTCATGCTTGAACAAAAACAGAAACAAAAACAAAAGAAACCAATCAGCATCATAACAAATAAACATTAGCACCCCTAAAATCACACGAAAGCAATAAAAGATATGATTAGCAAAGAACATGTACCAAGTGACTTCAAGAGCTTTCAAAGCATGACATAAAGATTATGCAGCACAACACAACCAACATATAATTTTTTAAGCATTCAAAATCAAGACAGAAAAACTAACCAGGAGTGGTGTTAGACTGTCATGTCCTATGAAATGAATCAAAAATTGCTAATATAGGCTTTGAAATAACTTTAGAAAAAAGAAGAGAAAAAAAACGTCAACTTTTAAGTTTTATCTAATTTTGGGCAAAATGGTTATTAAACAACTTTTTCCATTATCAATCAGAGGATGGTGATTAAATATTTTTTACCATGCAAATGAGTAGATAACTTCTGAAGATTGGCTAAGGAAAAATACAGAAGATTTCAAATCAGTAAACAAGGAAGATTCAACTTTCTCACATTTACCATGAAAAAGTAATGCAATAATACGCAGAGGCCCAGAATCTAACCTTGCCCATGTATCGTTAATGTCATCTGTTGTACGCCAACTGTTTCCAACCTTGCCAGCCCATAATGCTGGATCATCAACACCCCTGGCCGCAGCAAAGTTACATCCCAATAAGTTTGATGATAAAAAGAAAAGGGAATCAGCAAGAATGTTTATAAGAACAGGAGTACCATTCACAAAGTGAATAAAAAATACTACGCCCAGTTTCATTTAGTGCATCACGCATAGGTGGGTATCTGGAAGTCACAAATTAACTTCAAATCAGTAAGAAGCTTCCAATTTACAATCAAAGAAGCTATTGAGTATAATGAGGTGCAAACCGTTCTATTGGTTTAATTCCCTCGTTGAAACAGTTGTCATACTTCAAATAATCGACCCCCTAGTAAAGCAAAAGTGGAGAAAATACAAAATCAGAGGGAATATAAATGAACTTAAAAACTGAAGTGATAGTATAATTCTATGGACAACTTAGAATTCCAAAAGAAATGACTGTTTATTCATTAAAAAATGTGCTTGAACGTCAATCTATGATCTACTTGGAGTCAATTACATTCCAATAAGTCATTCAAAAAAGGGGAAAAAAAGGTTTGTTTATAAGAAACCATTCTTTCATTGAGAATGGTTTCTTATAAAAAAAAAAACATTTTCCCCCTTTTTTGAATTCTAGTAGGCCGATGAGCTATCAAGAAACAAAGTCCAAATAGGGCTATCAAATTCCATATTGAAGGGAGAAAAGATGTCCATCCCTAGAATAGGTAGGACTAGGATTACAAGAAAGCTTCTTAAATTTAAGTTAAAAGATCACAAATCATTGCCTAAACTATTGACCGATTGAAGACCAATGGAGGCGAAGAAAATGAAACTCAAAACACGTATATGTAGATTACTCATTTTTTTCTTTCGATATTCATGAGTGTCGAGTACACCTTCATTAATCTCACTGGCCAACCATTTATCTCTACAATATTTAGTTATTACTTGTTAGGAAACTCGTACAGTTTTAATATCTTAGGTATCTACCATGGGTCTAAACTCACTCTCCCAAAGTCCCTTTATTTGTTACTTGCTCATTGACCACTAAGTCCACCCATGGAGATAGACTATAGATGCCGCTTAGTAACAAAAGTATTGAATATATCATTCTAATATCAAAAGTTCGATTACAATTACTCACCCAAGAAGCAAACAACTGAGCATCATCCTTTTCATGGTAAAGTGACCCAGGTCGAACTTGGCAGGTGTAAGTACTGTTAGATGCAGTTGAGAGAATAATAATATGTGAGGATCGAGAGAGAGAGAGAGATGCCATTTAACTTTTAAGCTTTAGAAGTTGAGTTGACATTTCTTCCTACCCAGCATCAGAATAGATTCCAAGCTTCAAGCCTTTGCTATGTACATAATCAGCAAGAGCTTTAATTCCTGATGGAAAAGACTTGGGATCAGGAACCAGTTGACCCTGCACACAAGGTAGGAGACTTAACAAGCAACTTCGTACTTATGGCACATCACTGGGACTCAATAAAGTCCACAGGTAGAGAAGGATCAACATTAAAATTGAGAATTACAACTCCATCAAATGTCTTTCGTTAAAACAATCTTCAAAACTTTTTGGACTTGATAAGAACTAAATTCAGCAGAAATGGAATGCTTTGTGATATAATATAAATATTGTCCCCATCACAGAACAAGTTCAGACATTTGTGATTTGACAGTCAAATTCAGTTTCTTGCACAAAATCAAAATTAAGTTACCCTCGAATCTCGCTTCCGAGCGGACCAGCAATCATCTGCACTTATTTGAAATATGGTAAGTACTAAAATAAAACAAGACATAAAGAAAACTTTGCACATGAAACATGCTGGAAAGGTACCTATATTGACATACACATAACCTAACTCAGCCAGACCCGAAGAAATGAGTGCATCCGCTGTCAAAACCAAGTTCGAACTTAGGTTGAAATTGAAGCAAGAAATGAAAAGGCCATTATTATTATGGAAGAACCAACTCAGTACTCGAATATTGCAAAGTGATGATCTTCAAATATGACTCCCAACAACTCCCAACAGAAAATACAAATTTTCCAGGAACACAATGACTTCAATTAGGTTCAATAAATCCAGAAGTTTATGGATAGTTATGAACTTCACAAGTAAAATAATTGTAACAGGAATTTCAAAAGAACAAGTTTAAGAACGAAAATTTGTGCAAATTAACCCAAAGAACTATTCCCAGCCTCCTAGAATACTTCAGTTTCTATTATTCTTTCATTTCAAACAAAAACTATTGCTTTTCAAATTAGATGTACTAAGCATAATAAGCTTCCAGTGCAACTTTTCCCAATCACTCAGTACCCAGAATGTGTCAGATTTTGGCTTTTCCCAACATGGGTGATAAACATTAGAGAGAGAGATTCAGAAATGGGGAACACAAATGGAAGAAGAAAAAAAACAAAAAAAGAAGGATACCAGTTTCCTTGATGAGTCTTTCATCTATTTCACAGGCAAAAAAGTTCCAGCTATTCCATCTGAAAGGATACATAAGACATTGTTAAGCTTTAGAAAATAAACCTGAAAAGTCACCGATCATAACAAAAAAAAAGCCCATCACATGTTTGGGAAAGCCCAGAAAATAAACTTCAATTTTCCCGATCGTCCAGAAACTGAAAGTTTTCTACAAGTTCCCCTCCCCCTTGAGATTTCTATTTCAGTTTTTATTGCATTCAATTTTGATTGGGAGTTTAAAGACAACTATGCGAGAGAGAGAGAGAGAGAGAGAGAGACCCCATCTGAGGCGTTCGAGCCAAGCCATTTTCAAGCTGCAGAATGCCGTACTTGGAGGTATCAAAAACGCGATGAAATGACGACTTGAAAATCGATTTATCATAACCATTCAATAGCGACACTCCTCTCTCCCCAATCGCCACAGACGCCGCCGAGAGTGACAAAATCAGTAAAAACAATGATCCGAACCTTATCCTCTTCGCCATTAATGGAGCTCCGATTTCTTCCAGAGAGAGACCCAAAAAAAGGAGGAACTGGGACAAGACTTTTTGGAACGACGCTACTTAGAGTAAAGGGTCGAGATTACATTATCTGTTAATCAACTTTATCCCTTTGATTAAAGAAAAAATGGGTCAGTTTCTTGCTGGGTTGCTCTGCTCCTGCAAGTAACTAGAAGATTCTCTTTGACCCCCACAAGAGAAAATGGCATCAAATTCTTTTTCTCCATAATTTTCCTTTCAAATCTGTAATTTTTAAGTTGAAACTGTTTGAAATTGAATTACGAGTCTGATCTAATAAAAATTCCCATAAAGAAAGTAGGATTAGAAGTGAAATTTTCTGGTCATTAACGAGATAATATGATATTGTTTCAAGTTTTTCTTGTTAAAGAAAGCAAAGCGCGTTCCTCTCCTTTTTTTTTCCTCTAGGAATTTCTTCTAGTTGCAATTCATTGTTCTTCCGGTCTATTTGTGAGAAAGTGAAAAGGGAATCTTTTTCCTACACCATTCGAATTTTTTTCAATCTTTTGGCCGATGATCTATATTTTAGTCAAACTATATTCGGATTGCTTAAGTTTAATACGAAGAGGAATAAAAATCTAGGATTAATGTAAATATAAATACTAATAATAAAATTAATAACTTATGAATATTTATTTATACTTTCCATTGATATAGTTATATCTTGAAAGCAGAATTAGACCTCGTTCCTTGTATGTCCATTCGATCTGAATGCACGGTAAGACTTGGAGTATCTTTATCAAGCTTATGTCTTTTTTTTATCTTCGAAAAAATTCGAACAACTTTATGATTAATTATATGTATTTTAACTAATTGAGTTACGTTCAGATTGATTCACTTTGTTTGATTTATGTTAAACTAATGGAGAAATTTCTCAATATATGGTAGGTAGTTATATAATTACTAATAACTTAACTAACCATCCATTCCCTTATATCTCATCATTCCTACATTTGAATCTTTTTCGTTTTTCGTGTAAATATTTCAAAAGTAGATAAGACACATATTTACCATACAAAATGTCAATGGTTCAATCTCCATACTTGCAATTATTGAACTTAGAAAAGAAAATATAGGACACTTTGCACCTGCAACGTTAGAACACCTTAATTTTAATTTGTACACGCAACTATTAGGATTTCGAATTTTTCACTTTATATTTCATGGTGTGTAAGCAACCTACCTTTCAAATATATGAATTTTCTTGCCAATCTAAATATCACTCGATTGATAAAGGCATAAATCAACTTTCTTCAAAGTCAGAGGTTCAAATATTCACCTCATCCATGTTGACGAACTCAAAAAATGTATATGAAATCTCTTAACAACGTGAATTAGATTTGAACTAATATAGTATTTAGCTTTCTATATGCTAAAGAATTTATACTACAACACAATTAACTTCTAATGCATGGTTAATATCAATTATGAAAGATGTTAACACATGATTTGTACCATAACAATGTCATATGGGATGTTATTTTAATTAGAGGTGGAGCTAGAAAATATTTTAGGGAATTACAAGGTCATGCCTTCTTAACCTTTCTTATATAAAGTCTTTTAATTTTGAAAATTTAGGAATTTAGGAGGGCAGGAGATTAGAGTACCTATAAACGTTAGTTTTTTTATGTTTAATTTTTCAATCTAAAACAAAATCAAAAGGGATATTTTTTATTCACTTCGCTAACGATGAAAAGGTCTTATATGTCAATGTCAATATAAAGTTATTTGAATTAACAAATAAGTCTTTTACGTTTTTAAATAAATTAACATTCTTGTTATTAACAGTATTTTGTTAATAATTCTAATACTTCGTCAATTATTTTACGATATAGGAAAACTATCAATTCACCCATATAACGATATCAGACTCATGGACATATGAAAATGTTGATGTAAATATCGATGCATCGATTAAAATAGTCAACACATCGGTGAAACGCAGCTCCATTTGAAACCACCCTTTTTATTATTATTGTTCTAACCATGTATGCAAAAAATTGCTCATGGAAAATTGTCATAGGCATGATAGATCATGAAAATGCTAGACTAATAAAGTCAGGACTTCTTCACTTTCTCAAATTTCTCAAGGAATAGTGAAACAATGCAAATCTATAGGTCATAATGCAAAATCTTGCAAAAAGGATAGTGGCAAAAGCTTCCACAAAACATACAAATGATATTTTTCATGGAATTTGACATCTCATCTGCCATGAATGTGTTTCATTTATCTTAAAACTTCAAAACGCATCTTTATTAGTGTGTAAACTATATCCAACGCTGTCAACCTGAAAATAGTTCGATTGGTTATGGTATTTATTTTCTACCAAAAATTCGTGAATTCGAATCTCCACTCTCACATATTATACTCAAGAAAAAAAACATATATTTAACATTTTAAAATCATATATTCACGGGTGACTCGTTCGTCCAAAGGGACTAGGTTAATTAGGAGGGAATGGTTCAAACCCATGATGGCCATGACACTGAGTTGTAGGGTGTAGGAGAGGAATGGGATTGCCAAATTTGAAGTGGGTCCCACAATTTGATTTCATTGTACCCACAACACAAATTACTAATATATCCATAGTATCCATCTCAATATTAAATAATTATTAAAATATAGAATTGATAAATTGGAAGGTCAAATCATTTAAAATGTGCTAATGATAGTTTCAAAAATTAAAAAATCTCAAAACCCAAAAAACCATCCATTTTTTCTTTTCTTCCTCCGACCCTCTGTTCCTCTTCTCCGACCATCCGTCGCTGTCTGCCTTCCTCTCCGGCCAGCTCTGCTTTTCTTTGTCGCAAGAGCATGTCATCTCTGGCCACCTTCGAAAGGAGATTTCCTCGGTTCTTATTCTCTGGTCGTTTCTGAAAGCCTTCGTCTCCGGCCGATGTCTACCTGCCTTCATCTCTGGTCACCTCCGTTTTTCTTCATCTCCAGATTGAAGGTTTGCATTCCAACGGATGTTTTCAATTTCTGATTTCGTGTGAAATATTGTATATGTGAGGATATATAGTATAGTGATTTGATTATGATATATCTTATAACTCAACTTGTATATATGCGGATATGCGGATATATACTACAGTGATTTTGAATGTATATATGCAGATATAGAAGTGAATATATCTTATAACTATATATGCGGATATACAGATATATACTCTAGTGATTTTGAATGTATATATGCAGATATATACTATAATTTTGAATATATTTCTGAATATGCGGATATATGTTTATTGAGACTTTAAAAATATTTTTGAATGAGTTTTGAAGGGGTGAATTAAGGATTTGTGTTGAAATTAGTATGGGTTCACCATATAAATCGGAATTAAAATAAAATCCTACGCCCAGTTCATTCTCAGGTGGACCCGATTCCATTTTTCCCTCGAGATCTTTCTCCCATCAATGACATTCTCTAAAATTGTTTATCCTCGTAATCATGATTTTGAATTTTCCAATTATCTATATTTTCCAAATTTATTATATATATTATCTAATTTAGAGTAGGATAATAATATACCCATATGTATCTAATATATACTGGTATATACTATTTTTCTCCTTTGAAAAAAAAACATAGATTTTCTATTCCTTTCTTCTCCCTTTCAAAAGTAGTCACACCCCAGGCCCCTCCTTTCGCGACTATGGCAAACCCGTGATGTCGTTGTTATGGAGCAACCGACGGTGCGTTCCAAGATTCGAACAGCAGTGGTGACAACGTCTCTCTATATCGGAGTGACTACCTTGGGTCAACCCAGAGATTTCTGACGGTGAGAGGGCATTAGATTTTCTAGGTGCCTGGTGGTAGTTGTTCCAGTTGAGTGGTGTTTAGGAACTACTAACGAGAAATACACTAATTGCCGCTAGAAAACGCCAAGAACGAACTCTACTCTAAGTTGTCGTCGTCTGTCGAAGGGAGAGGATGGTTTGAGGATTTCGATCCAAAATAAGGAGGCAAGATTTTAGAGGAAAATAGGGGGTGGATTTTAGGTATTTGAATGAAACCACCTAATATTTAATTTTTTTTTCCTATTTTTAGATTTTTATTAAATCTATATTCATGGATAATTTTCTAATCTACTCTAGTTGATCTTTACACAATAGTGTAAATTTTTATTAAGTCTATATTCTAAGCTAGTTGTGTATTTATTCCTTAATAGATTTACTTTTAAGGTGTGTTTGGGAGTGATGGTAGAATTAGTGATTTTAAAAGGATAGATTTTAGTAGAATTGATTTTCCAAAATCATCATCCAAGTTATAACTTAAAAATTTCCTAAAATCAACTTATTTCTAATTTGCCAAACATGATCATGAAAAGGGGAGTGATTTTGACAATAGCAAAAGTGATTTTAATCATGTTAAAATCACTCCCAAACACGCTCTTATTCAAATTTGATAATAAGTTAGTTATTTAATTTACGATTCTTAGCCTAGTTTGGGTTTGGGGCCAAATTACCATAAGTTTTGGGTTGATTTGATTTTGGTCTAATTATCATATTGACTCAATTTGATCAATTTAGACCAAGAGCTTCGTTCATCGATAATTAACACATGTCTGACCAAAAAGTTATAAGTTCAAATTCTCTCACTCCACTCGTTGTACTCAAAATATAGTGATTACATTAAACTTCACAAGATTAATACATCCTCAAATAGTAAATTAGAAAATTATTCATGAACCGCAGGCACCATAGATCATACCACAACAAAATACTCGATCTCAACAACAAAATGCTAAAATAATTCAACGACTAAAAAGTATTCGACGCAACTAAAACAATCAATATCTACAAAAATAGCTTCAACCAAAGTATATATATATATATATATATATATATATATATATTTGACCATAGCCGTAAATCTTCAAAAAGATTTAGAAAAAGAAAAAACTAATTGAAAGAGTATTAATTTAATTCACAGCTTATTTAAGGTTGTTAGTGTTATGCAACGGGAATCGATAGTCGAGCTACGGGTTACGATCGGAGGRAAGCCCACTGGGCCGCGAGGGGCTCGGTCCCGACCCGGGCTCRGCCCACGGCCCAGCCAACAATTCCCCATCTTCGATCGACGATTTCGCCCAGGCCCTGCAACGGTGAATTAGGGTTAGCTACGGAAAGTTCTGGAACAACTTCACGCTATAAGTAGCAATCCAACCTTAGAGGTAGGGGATCTAAAAAAGTTGATTACATTTA